ATAAAATTTTCTGATTTTCTTATATGTATGAATCTATCAGGCAGTCAATCTATAGCTTAGTAATTAAGTTCTGTGAAATTACACCAACTTACAAATTATGCTTCAAGTTTTCACTGAACAGTTTCTGTTAATAATAAGAATCTAGAAAGCCTATCAGTATTTGGTTATGATTAGCCACTGACATAAACATGAGAGCAGATTTCACTGTGGTTTATTATTTTTTATTTTTTTTTCTTGCTATAGGGCATGTGCACTCACCAGAAAGAGAGAGACAGAGAGAGACAGAAAGTGAGAAATCACCCCCCAGGGGGCATGGCCACACTGCAATCCCTTTTCCTCCATTCTTCTCTTGGGATCTTGGGCACACACATACATGTGCCCAGCGTGAGTTTAAGCCGGGTCTGGGACTTGAACCGCAGTCCACTACATGGGAATCCAGTGATGTATAGCCATTACACCAATTGCTGGTCCCTCACTGTGGTTGTGTATAAAAACACTAGCTTTTGTATTTGTCTCAGAAGAAAATCCAGTAAAGTGCTTCTTCAGATGACCTCTGTAATTTTGCAGATGATTAATTTGACTTACTCTTCTTTAGAAGTGGCGATACATTGAACATTAGAAAAATTATGCTGTATCATAAAAATTATCAGCATCCAATAAAGCATTTAAGGAAAATGAGCATGTCTTTCCCTCTTTAAAATAATTTAGGGTAATCACAGACATGGTAAAAAGAATTCCTATTGATTATTAGATGTTAATGCTCATATAGTTCGTTTTTTAACGTTTCTGATAAAGTCAATAGAGAATCTCAATATGTAAATATAAGTGAAATGACAGTTACCTAGCTTCGTAAGATAACTGATTTGGTCCTGGATACTGTGCTGTATTTTCCATGCTATGGAAATACAATACCATCTCTCCTAGAAGTAAGCTTATTTCTTCTAGAAGAAGAAATCAACTTTCTGCTGTGAGTGTCGTGGGATGCCTGCAGGGTCTCCGCACAGTGACCAATGCGATCCCCAGCCTCAGTCGGCCCACATCATGGACAGCAGCTTACACCACCGGGCATGCACAGGACACCTCGGGGAATTTAACCTCCCTGTGTGGCAGCAGCATGGCAAACGGTTGCATTACTGCTGTGCCACTGCGGCTGGCCTGTAACAGCATCTCCCAGGACATACTTCTCCAGACGTGCCTGGGGTTTATGGAGCTCGAGCTCTCCTTTGGTACGTCTCATTCCCTAGTTCTGAAATGACTAAACTGTAGCCATTAGAGAGCACAGGCCATGTTAAACAGATTTTGCTTTCACAGTACATCTCCCTTGTTTTTTCATCCATTCACTTAGCTGAAAAAAGAAAGATAAAAATGTGGCCACATGAGTAAATGAATTTCTGGATGTATGTAACTTTTAGATCTCAGCATGAAGGTCAGGTATAGATTTTATACAAATCTTGGTAATGTTTTAGATACAGAAATCAGATGTATTTATTTTCTGTAACTCTGTAATGGAGACAGAAACAGGGCTCATGAATATTTAACTATATTTGTTGGCATGTGTCCTACGAAGTGAAATCCTTAACACATTTAACAGTGTGTATCTCCTTGTGTTGCTAATACAACACAGCAGCCAAACCTGCCTGCCAGGTGGCTTTGAAAATGGACTGAACTTCCATGGCATTAATAAGTTACTATTTTAGTACAACCAAATGGCCATCGATTTCCAGTAATGTTTTGGTTTTGCTCTATAGCCAACCTCAAAACACCCACACCTAATAAAACCAAAAACAATGTAGTATAGCATTATATGACCACGACCATATTTTCTTTAGTTTCCCTTCATATCAACTTGTCATTAGGAAAAATACTCCAGTTTCTTTACATTAGGAAAGAAATATGTCTCATGTGTATTTCAAGAGATGCTCCTTAGTCATGACTCAGCCTCATGGTACAAGCAAATTTAAACCTCTTGGAACTTAAGAAATAAGAGACAAATCAAGGGATTTTTGAAATCAAATAGATCTGAAACTATCGATTGACCTCTTTTATGCAGATGCTTCTTAGTAATTATAAAAGAATATAAATTTCGAAAATATGACTCTTACAGATAGTAATGATCAAGTGCTTTAGTAATAACTGAAATGGCATTTTCTGTCCTTGTGGCTTAATCTGAAAATCGCAGTTCTATTATTTTTGTCCCAGAAATTTGTTTTATTCTTATTATTAATTTTAGATTTTGGGGGGGGGTTGTTTCCATATTGTTGACATTTAAGATAGACTTAAAATAATCTGTTTATATTTGCTAGATGTTATAGAAAGGGAAGCCACCCTAAGAATTTATAGGGGAGATCACCATTATTTCTGCTAAAAAAAGAAAAAGTTAGTTACCTTCCTCTGTATTGCTAATAATTTTGGAGGAAAAAAATGTCATACTGGAAAAACCAAACAAAACGCTTTGTGGTTGAAACATAAACACTTGAAACTTACTCTTAACCATTTTTAAATGCACAATACTTTATTACATACAATTACATAATATATAACTTATTGTTATTCACCATGCTGTGAAATAAAAAAAATAAGCCCCCCAAATATTCCATATCCCTCCTGAGATTTGGTACTCTTTAATCTTCTCACCATCGTTCCCAGCTACCAGCCTCTGTACCACCATCCTATTCTCTGCTTCTACAAGTTCCGTGTTTAAAGTTCCATAGGCTTGAGAACATGCGGTATATGTTTTTCTGTACCTGAATTATTTCACTTAGTATAATAATATAAAGCATTTGAGGTGATCAATATGTTAACTACCTCCATTTAATTGTTCCACGTATATTCATAAATTATAACATCATTCTGTAGCCCAGAAATGTATGCAATTATAAATTCTCAATTTACAATATAAAAAGAAGAAAAAGTAAAGAAGAAATGAAAAATACTTTTTGTAAGTGTGTTCTACATGTTTTGAAATCCCATATTATTTCACAGGTTCCAAAGAAATTCCCAGGAGCTCAGTTTTTTCTCAAGACACTAAACAATGATCAACCTAGCAATTCACCTGGGCTGATGGGCTGTTTTCTACAGCTTATTTGTATCTCCTCATTGGTTGAATTAATACTGACTACAAAATCAGCAGTTACAACCATAAGTATCTTTTCTTCACCATGTCCTCAATACGCTTGAAAATCTCACACACTGGAGAGAATTATGTAAAAGATACTTTCAGAACTGCAGTGTCAGAAAGGGTGCATTCAATTGTCTGAATTATGGCCCAAATCCCTCTCCTAATGTTCTGTGAATTCAACATCCTTGTGAAACTAAGTTTTTAAAAAATGCAAAAGACTCACATGAAGAATGTTTTAGATTTGTTGTAATTAAACATTTCTTCTTAGTATTCTGCATCTGATACACAAAAATTAATCAAAATTTTACATCACCAACTCTCTCAGCAAATAAACTGCTTTTAGATTCCTAATGTGACTTTTATGATCTGTCTTAAAAAACAGTTGATGCGATAAAAACTGTGTCTCAAGGCAAAAGGGGCAAATCAGCCTTTGATCAGAAAGCAAATAATGAATCATTCTTTCTTTACATTTCATCTTTATAAGTAAACACTGATGTTTACATCAATATTTAAAAATGACTTTCTTTGAAACTAGTCATAATATGATACTAGCATGTGACATTTCTCTTTTTATAGTTATCTTTGTACCCAGTGGTCCTGCTGGGTCCCAGACAGTGTTTGAGGTGCCTGGGCTACAAAAATGGGAAAG